TTTCTGCATGTGAGGATTTTTTTAAGTGGTAGCTAAGCCTTTTTTTTTTTGGCGGGGGGTGGGGGGGGAGTTAAAGTTGAGAATAGAACTGTGTTTCAGTGGAGTATAGCCAACAGTTGAAAGCAATATATGCTTTGGAGAAAAAAAAATGCCTTTACAAATAAGGAACTGTGTCCAGCTTTAAGAGGTAAAGAGTCAGCCATCGGTCTGTAGCCTTGTACCTGAAAACCCAGCATTTCAGTGGCTTTCTTGTAGGTTTTTGCCTGTCTAGCTTGCTGTTTAGGGAGAATCTTGCTAAAAGTTTGTCTTATGTTATAGTTTAACACAAAGGATTGTGGTTCAGGTGGCAGAAGGCTAATAGGTGCTGTGCTGTGTTATCTTTTTTTAAAATTGCATAGACTTGATGGAACAATTGTCAGGGAGCCATTCTTAGTACTTGGATCTCCCCTTTGATTTTGATTTTTCTTTTCATTCTTGCAATTAGTTCTTCTCTTTTGAAAGTTAGGAGGGAGGTAACGTATTCTAGCAAATACCATAGTTAATGTCCAAAGGACCCTATTACATTTTCCTGCTTGCTATGCAGGTTTGTGGTGAACTGTGAGGACTAACAGGCAAACCTGTAAGGACTTCCCAGGCCGGGGTTGATTCAGGGTGGGTGCAAAGGTGCAACTGCACGACCCTTTTGATTTCTGCTCCATCCAAATTTTAAAAACAACTGTCTGGGAGGGGCAGTAGCCTTTCTAGTCAGGTAGTACTGATGGAGTCAATTGACTTTGTGCCTTATTATCATACCTGATTCCTGCTAATGTCCCTCCATTCCACAGAGGTTAAAGACCCTCTCTCCTTTTTAATGATCTTGATGTTCCACCATTTAAATTATTATTTCTTCTGCAATTTTGCTTTCTGTTAGCTATTCCTGGTAATGTATCCCTTGGATTTCAAAACCCTGCAAACCTGTTTCAGCTCTAGCTAAAAAAACCTTAATTCAGGTATGGTCATACTAACTCAGATGTAAAAAGGCTGACAGTGAAGTAGTGGAAGCACTGTCAAGAGCTCAGGAAGGCTAGATTTTGTTTTGTGAATCTGAGTAAGAGATTCACACTTATTGTGACACTACATCTTTTTACTACTTTGTCTAATTTGCTGGGGGGTGGGTTCTATGAGTGGTATTTATCTAGCAAGTTATTACTCATTTCAGTAGTTAAACTATTTGTTTTCACTTTGATCTTAAACAGACTAATATAGTACTAGCTCCCTAGAATATTAGTAAAGCTTCTAGTTTCTATTTAACTGGAGAAAAGTGTATCTTGTGTTATGTGATGTGCCATACTTTCTGAACCACCTTTTCAAAATCCTAGATCCCAGAAATCCATGCTCCCAGAAATTGCTTTGTGAATGCTTTCCAATGATGTAGTGGTCTAAGAAATACCTATGGACTTGTAATGATAAAGAGAAGATAGACAACTTCTATTTCCAGTTGTTGGTTGTGCATATATTTGCATACAACTACATATAAAAATGGGTTGTGTAAAAGTTACTGTGAAATTGCAGGTTCTGGTTACTAGTGATAGCTATTAGATACTAGGACCATTTTAATACTGAAAACTTTGCTCCCATATCTAGCAAGGTTACATGTGTAGTGACCATGCTGTCTTCATCCTAACAACCAGTACATAAAGCCTGCGTCTAAAAGATGCATGAAGTAACTTTTTGAGAACTCTACTTGATGTTGATGGACTCTAGTTCTTATTATCTAATGCTCTTAAAACATTTAAGCGTTACAGACCTTCCACCCCCAACTAAGGAGATATTACCTGTCTCCTCATTTGTAAAACTAGCACAGAAAAATTTAAATGCCCTGCCCAAGGCCATGCAGCATATAAGAAAGAGTTGAGAATAGAGTCAGAGAGTACCTGACTCTTAAATAGTTGCTAAACTTAATCTACAACTTGTTGCTCTAGAAGAAGCAGTAGGAACAGTTTATTTGCTCATGAGACTTATCTGGCTTCTGTAGATGCTTGGTGTTTTTAAAACACAAATAAAATGGTAAATTGAGGTTTTGGAGTTTTTTTTGATAAGGATGAACAGTCTGCTAGGAAGTCAAAGTAATAGCCCTCATTAAGTTTGAACTGACCACATTGATGGTGAAGGTACACATAAGGGGCTTGAAGGGGAATTTCAGAAGTTAACATTTAGATTTAACAACTGCAGGATTTTTATTTAGTTTAAATAAAACATTTGACTTTCTGAGGGTAAATTAAACCTATTTTGCTTTCCAGTGCAATAAGAAAGCAAAGCGCTCTGACATTGTGCTCCTGTATGCCCGTACTTTGAAAGCACTGGACACCAGTGAACAGGAGCGCATGAAAAGGTATGGAAAAACATCCAGTGTGGATGTACTATACCTGACCTACATATGTATGTCTAAAAAACAGCTGATATGTTTGACTCTTTTACCTAGTCCTTTCATTTATGTCCCTTAAAACAGTCCCACCTAAGATTACACAGACATCTCAAGTATGGTGTTCCAGCTGCAGTATCTGGATTCTCTTTTAGAAATTAATTATGGGGATTTATGCCCTCACATGCAGACAAAGAAACTGCAAAAACAAGCTAATGTGGTATCTTTTTTTAAACAACAAAGCTGGAGAATATGCTGAGTCTTTAGAGAAAAATAGCCCTAAACTATTAATCCATTATACACTTAATTTTTCTGTGTATAAATGATCAGCAGGGATTCAGGATTTCTGTCCACCATGGAAAAATGCAGTAAAACCCGGATTTTCATTTTTTAAGGAGAAAAATAAGGGAAACAGCAGGTTTCCCTTTGCAGGCTGACAGAGTTCCAGCCTGTAAGGGGATGCTTGGGGCTGGGGGAAAGCAGGAAGAGGGTGGTCAGGCAGGGGGCACCATGTGTATGTGTGTGTATGCACACATGCATATGCAAGCTGGGTGGCCTGGAGAGCAGTTCCCCACTTGGGCCGTAGCAACCACCATCTCCCACAAGTGGCAGCTGGGGCTTGGGTGCTGCTGAGAGGGTTTGGGAGGGTGGGGGCTGTGCTCTGGGTGAGTGACAGGGCCTATGCGGGGACTGTGCCCCCCCCCATAGCCTCAGCTCTGCTGCCTGCCCCACTGTCAGCCCTGACTGATCCGGGGGCACACGCCCCCCCATGCCCTCCCACTGGGGCAGGGCGGGTGCTGGACGGAGCTGCGGCTCATCATGGGGGTAGGGGCAGCTCCCACCACTGCGCACTGCTAGTCCAGAGACAGCTCCAGCAGCCCTGTCCTGTGCCCGCCCTGCCCCAGCTGGGTGAGTAGCAGGAGGGCATGGCCCCTGCCCCACACAGATCCGGGGGAAGCAGTCTTCTCTCAGCTTGGGCAATATTTGAAAAATACCTGCCATAGGGATACCTCAGTACCTCATCATATAACCTTCCATTATTATACTCTTTGTTACTCCAAAAAAAAAAAAAAAAAAGTGGATGGGGAAGGAATTTTATCATGAGGAACAGTCTCTTTTAACTGACTTGTCACTACCTGATGTAGGGCTTGTTACAATCCATCGCAGATAAGCAGAGAATTTAATTTTACGTAGTTAAGCAGTCATAAGTTAAGATAACACACATTGCCTTAACGTTTACTCCGTGCACATATGCTTTGCATTAATTTTGAAGCTTGCGTTCAAAGTCAGTAAAGTCTGTCTTCAACTTTTAGACACATAGGTAATACAGTCATCAATGTAATAATTGATTATAGATATAGCCAACCATATGCATTGTGTAATGTAAACTGTCTTTCCATCAGTGCTTGCTAATAAAATCAAAAGCAATTATTTTGCTTTTTATACAATACAAATAATATGAAAGCATCCCCTTGATTATAGCTGGGTCCCGCAGAATTGTGTTTAGTGAAAGTGTACAAACACCTGAGGGCCTGTCTTCATATGTAGTTTGAGGTTGGTGGAGACGGTTGGACTTGTTTTTAAAAATAATATTGGAGTGAGACACTAGATAAATCACAATTGCACTTAGGCATCATTGGGAGCATAGCAAGGACTTCTGCTTTTATCTGTAGTAATTTGTTTGGGGGGGAAGCCATTTAAAGGGGAAACAGATGAATATACATTTTGGCTGCCGGTGGGCAACACAAGGAAACGGAGAGTGCAAGGATACTAGATGAGGTCTACTGAAACTCAGATTTTAAGTTTATCTGAGCATGGCTGTGATATTAAATCAGTAGAGCTGCAACTCAGAGCATCCTGAGTAGTCTCCAGTCATAATGATTGTTGCTTCTTCTTCCCCTTCAGCTCTTTAGAAAAAGAGCAAGTGCTGAGGAGACAGGCAGAACTGGAATCTGCCCAGAGCCGGCTGCAGCTTCAGGTCTTGACTGATGAGTGTAGTAAACTTCGCAAGCAAGTCCAGGTAAATTCAGCTGTTGTGGTTTTTGTTTTGTTTTGTTTTAATGATAGACTCTTTCCCAGGGGTGGGCAGTTATTTTGGGTGGAGGGCCACTTACTGAGTTTTGGCAAGCTGTTGAAGGCCACATGGGTAGCCCCACTCCTTGACAGATGCCCTGCCCCCTGGTCATCATCTTGTGACTGGAAGTCCCTCCCTCTAACCCCTGACCCTTGCCACCAGAAGTCCCTCCCCTTGCCCCTGGAAGTACTCCTTTCAGCAAGGGGTTTTGCCATCTCAAGAGTCAAAAAAATACCAAATTATGTTCTAAAAAGCAAACATCTACAACATACATTAATTTGATTTCAAAAAATATTTTTATCCTGATTCACATGTGTTTGTGTAGTGTACACAGAGGTGATTGCACAATAGCTTAAAAATGAAGTCTTACTCTTGTATATTGTGAGGGGGTAGGTATAGGTTTGTGGGGAGCTATGGGCATGTGGGTATGTGGAATGAATGAGCGTGTGGATATGTGGGGGGTATGAGGTTTGTGGGGGAAGGTTGATGGGGTGTGTCAGTGGATGTGGGGGTCTGCATGTATGGCAGTGTAAGGGGGGGTGCATGAGTATGGTGGGGTGCGCATGGGGGAGTCACCCTATGAACACCACCCCCCCCACCAGCATGACCCCTTGCTCCGTGGTCCCCCAATGTAGCCACATGGTGCTAGAGCATGGTGGGGGCAGGAATCAGGGAAATGACTGAAGGTGGGGCAGGGCTAGGTTCCTGCCTCCTGCTGCTGGTTCCTCCTGGGTTCTACTGCCCCTGGCTTCTGTCGTCTTTGACAGGCAGACAGGAGCAAATAAATATTAATTTACTACATTTTTAGGGGCCCTGCAGGCTGGATAGAATGGCCTGGCAGGCCGGATGTGGCCCACAGGCTATATTTTGCCCAGCCTTGCTCTTTCCCCTTCTGTCCAGTCTGTGTTTTACCTTTCTTCTGCCAAGGGCATCTGTGATCTTTTAGTGTTTACAAACAGCATCTCAACTGCTGATGTCTTTTGATCAGTTGGGAATATCCAGGACTGGCAGTGATACCACATATATGTCTAGCATGGAGCATTCTGGGGCTTTACAGGTATCTGGTGGCTAGTATGTCATTCTATAACGATGAGTTTTCTGGGACTTAATGTTGCAATGCTCCCTGGTCAGCTTCACTTGTGTAAGAGATTCACTGACGGCTAGATAATAACTTGGATATCCAGTGACTCGCTTCTTATATTTTAAAGGCTACAGCTGACGCAAGTACAATAGTGAAAGTATTATCAGGATATGTTGATTGTAGACTGTAGAAAACCTGGGTGCTTGTATGTGTGACAATGTTACTATGTACACATGATGAAAAATTTCCCTTTGTGTGGCTTAATGGCATCACACTTTACATGTACTTGAGGGGAGGATCAGGTCCCTTGCGGCGTCTGCCTTCAGCGGGTGCCTGTGACCACCAGGACAATGACATGTATACAGTGATGGAAAAATAAAACCCACCGTTTCAATTAAAAACTCACTGCTTCAATTTAGGAAGCATATAATACAACTCTGAAGGACTAAACCCCTGTCACGTGTACAAGCACCCCCTGGGAAGAATGGTTGTGGGGAGAGTAAATCTATGTGTCCATGCCCAGCATTCTTTTTATGCTAAGTAACTCTTGTACATGGTCTTTAATGAAAATACAAATAAGGTAAAAAAAAAAAAAAAAAAATCTTGTTGAGCCTTGTCTGTTTTTCTAGATTCATTGCTGTTTTGCTGTTTTCCAAGTGTAGCGCATCCTTTTAATTCTAAACTTTTATACTACTAATCTTGAATGTGTAGTGACTTTGAGTACAAACACCTGAGTGACTATTTCAGTTGAACAAGTTACTGGTCTCTCTTAACTGTTTTATAGCCTTTTGTTTCTGATAGATCTGGTTTCCCTTGGGAACAAATTCTATACAGAGGTGGCCAACCTGCAGCATGTGTGCACAGGCAGCCTCCATGGGTGGCACATGGCAGATTGGTTAGGGAGCAGGGGATTGTAGTGCTACTTGGTGTCATTGCAGCACTTACCAACCTGCCAAAACAGTTGGCCTCCACTGCTGTATAGATTCATTCATCTTTACCAAAAGCAAGTAAAGGGTTAGCAGAGTAACAATGGATATCCTCACAAGTCTGGCCAGTTTGTTACTGCAGATGGTTTGCAGGGGGAAGAGCTGTTTGGAAGTATCACTGTTTCCTCGTATTACAGACAGTAAGAGTAGACTCTCTACTGCAGAGATACCTGGTGATGCCTTTCCTTTCTAGATTTTTGTCTGAATTGTATGATATTTGATATTATACTGTGACACAGCTTCTGTGGATGAAAAGGCTGTACTTTTCTCCTTTGAAATAATATGGGAAGGTTCACTGATATCTTGGTCTTCATAGCTATCTGACATGTTTAATGGTGCCAAATTTCCTTATTATTCATTCTTCAGTAAACTTATTTTTTTCTGTATAAAGGGTTATTATTCTTTCCTCCAATCTTCTATTCTAGTTTTACTTTTGTTCTCTGTTCTGGGGATTTCTAGCAATAGATATTTCTTTGCAGAATAGGGCAGCATTTGCTGTACTGCAATTTCCTGATGTGACTTAACACTCAAAACTCTGTAAATTAATCAGATAATTTGTCATGGGTTTCATGTCATATATGGGCTAATGATGATAGCATTGGTATACTCTGGGCCTTGATATCAAGAAAATCAAGGATGCAGTAAAGCCGCACACTTCAGAAAGCCACTGTATTATGAAACTTATATAAAAACCATACAGACTAGCAATGTCAGAAACACTGTAAAGGTTTATATGCTCAACATGCTTGAACTGAGAGAGATCTTGGTGTACTTATGCTCTGTTCGTTGGTGGTATCTCAGTGCCTAAAATCACATACTAAACACATACCCTGTTAAAGTTCCCTATACCTTATCTTTCAGTTTAATCAGAATGTAAGCATCTAACTTGGAGATTGGCAACCTGTGGCTAGGGACCACTGTAATTCAGGCTTGGGGGGAACAGGGAGTGGCAAGTGGGCCCCCTGCAGGCACACCCAAGCCAGTTTCAGGCATTTTCCAGGGCAGGCCTGAGGGAGCCTGCCATGAGGCTGGTTACCATTGAACAGCAGTACACAGGCTGTTCTTCAGCTGTTTTAAGAAAGTAAAGCTCACTGTGTATTAAAAAACAACTTTTAAGTAAAGTACACCACTTAAAATTCTTCATGAAACCCTAATAAATAAACTTCATTAAACAACAACTTTTATTAAGTGCTAACTTTTATGGAATGCTGATCCTCAGGCAAAGTCCACTGCTGCAAAATCCATGTTAATGATTGAAAGTGAACACGGAGCAGCTGCTGAAATTTCCTGGAAACGTAGTATGTCTTTGTGGAGTGAACACTTGGCCATAAACAGAGAATGCACTCCACATCCACTGAATTTGTGGGGACTTTCAGGCACTGTTTTGTCAAACTGTATGGCCTGGGAACCGCTCACGGACAAGAGTCCCAGAATAGTTATGTTCACAGGCAGCTGACACTCTTTGACACTGCTTAGATAAGTGGGATATTACTGTTCATGCTGTTTCCCCCACCCAGGAATAGACTTGAACAGCTGAGCATCAAAGCTCAGCAGAACCACTTGGTTCAGGTAAAAAAATTTGCACTGCCCTAAGGACAAGGCAGCCAGTTGCCTGAATGTGGTAGATTGGAGGTATCATGAAAACCTCCCTTCTCTGCTGGTTTTCTTGTTGAGACTTGGAAAGTTTCTGTGATAATGTCCTGGCTTCAGCCCAGCTTAGTAAGTCCCATCACTTTGTTGTGAGCTTGGTGGATGGAAGGCTGCAAACCCTCAAACAAGGTGATGAGTTCCATGAGCTGGGCAAGCTTTTTGAGAGAATTATTCTGGCACATGTCCGCGAGGGGCCAGCAGGGGAGATTATGCTTAGGAGCAACCAACATGGGTTCATTAGAGGCAGGTCCTGTCAGACCAACCTGCTGGCCTTCTATGACCAGGTCACAAAATCCTTAGACGCAGGTATAGCAGTGGATGTAGTCTTTCTGGACTTTAGGAAGGCCTTTGACACTGTCTTTCACCCCATTCTCATTAAAAAACTAGGGGACTGTGGCGTTGACACCTACAGTCATTTGGGTCACTAACTGGCTGGAGGGTCACACCCAGAGAGTGGTGGTGGACAGGTCTTATTTGACCTGGAGGGATGTGGGCAGTGGGGTTCCGCAGGGCTCGGTCCTTGGGCCTGCACTGTTCAACATCTTCATCAACAACTTGGACGAGGGGGTGAAAAGCACCCTGTTCAAATTTGCAGATGACACTAAGATGTGGGGGGAAGTGGGCATGCTAGAAGGGAGGAATAACCTGCAATCGGACCTAGACAGGTTACAGGGGTGGGCGGATGAGAACAGGATGGGTTTCAACACTGACAAGTGCAAGGTGCTGCACCCGGGGAGGAAGAACCAGCAGCATACCTACAGGCTGGGGAACTCCCTTCTCGTCAGTGCAGAAGCAGAAAAGGATCTTGGGGTCATCGATGCCAAAATGAACATGGGCTGACAGTGTGGGGACGTGGTCAGGAAGGCCAACCGCACCTTGTTATGCATCCACAGATGCATCTCAAGCAGGTCCAAGGAGGTGATCTTCCCCCTCTATGCGGCACTGGTCAGGCCGCAGTTGAAGTACTGTGTCCAGTTCTGGGCGCCGCACTTCAGAAGGGATGTGGACAATATGGAGAGGGTTCAGAGGAGGGCCACCTGCATGATCAGGGGTCAGCACGGCAGGCCCTACGAGGAGAAGCTGAGGGACCTGAACCTGTTCAGCCTCCACAAGAGAAGGCTGAGGGGAGATCTAGCGGCTGTTTACAAATTAGTCAGAGGGGACCAGCAGGCACTGGGGGAGTCCCTGTTCCTCTGAGCACTACCAGGAGTGACAAGGAATAACAGCCACAAGCTGGCAGAGGGTAGATTCAGACTAGACATCAGGAGGCGCTATTTCACCATCAGGGTGGCTAGGATCTGGAACCAACTTCCGAGAGAAGTGGTGCTGACTCCTACCCTGGGGGTCTTTAAGAGGAGACTGGGTGAACACCTCGCTGGGGTCGTTTGACCCCAGTACTCTTTCCTGCCATGGCAGGAGTCGGACTTGATCTACTTGGGTCCCTTCCAACCCTACAAACTATGTAACTATGAGTGTTGTGGCGTTTTCTTCCACAAAGGCCACCTGTGCCTTAATGTCTCTCTTCTCCAACAGATTCCTTAGCTGGAGCATGCACTGCATGCCCAGTGTAATGTCCAGCTCTTTGGCCACAAACTGCCTGTAGTACTGGATGTGTTCAGCATGGTACTGGATGGCATTGAACTGTGAGCAGACTGGTGGCAGTGGAACAGTATCATGTGATTCCTCACACTGATTGGCAATGGACTCCCTGTACCAGAGCTTATAGACAGGACAGTGTTTGAAGACTTTCTTCAGGCAGGACACATCATGGAACTGGGCACACCAGATGTAACACCAATGACAGGATGCGCAGGTGACATGTACAGAGTTGGGCATTGCTCCCTGGAGCGCTTTGATGAAAGCCTTGTGCATGTACCTGGCATTGTCAGAAAGGAAAGAGAAGATCTTGTTGAAATCTAAGCTGTAGATGAAAACAGCTTGCATGGTTGCCTTTGCAACTGTTGAAAAACTGGCAGCCTTGAGGTGGACTGGCTCTGTCTGAAAAACAGGCAGGTTATTGCTATCCAGTTCTCACCTACAAATTAAATATACAGCACGTAGTTGTCCTGACTTTCTGTGGCTTCATCAGCTACCATGGAAATGGGGTCAAATTCTACCAGTGCAGCTGTTGTGGACTGCACGTGTAAAGCTATCACCTGTGGAAGATATTCTTCCTGAAGCCTGTTAGCTGTTAGAATACTTCCCCCTATCGGACAAATTGTCCTGCAAGTACTGTCTCAGGATCAGGTGGTCAGACTTCTGCAGAGAGGGTTATTTACAGCTGTGAATGCTTTGACCAGAGCAAACATAGCCTCTCCTTGCCAGACTGCTTTCAGTGTTTTGTTTAGTTTTTTGAACATCGAGGACATGGTGGTTAGTCCCTGGAACTATTCACTGCTGCTCAAGTCCAGCACTTGCCTCAGGACCATGCTGAACTGGGACTGAAGGCAAGTCACTGGTGGTTTTTCCTCTGGCCTCGTGACTCAGATATGCCTTTGAAACACTTAACCCTTTGAGTCTTTTTCTGCCTTTCTTGTGTTCCCAGATCATCCACCTAGCACAAAGGCAACAGTTTCCTGTTTACCCAGTTAATGAGCTGCAAAAAAAATACTGAGTTGCCCTGGTTCTCTTCTGGTGTACTTTTACTCTAAATGATCGATACTGTATTTTCTCACCAGATCCAGAGTCACATTACATGAGGAGCAGAAGAACTTGCCACCCTCTGCATGAAGAGTGCTGACAGGAAACTGCTTCATTTGATCTGTGGCAGAAATTTTCTTTGCTATGTGTGGGGTCTCTTCACACTGCTCTTGCTCATCTTCTCAGTTTGCACCATGCAAAATCATCAAATCATACAAATTTAGGGTTGGAAGGGACCTCAGAAGGTCATCTAGTCCAACCCCCTGCTCAAAGCAGGATCAGCCCCAACTATATCATCCTAGCCAAGGCTTTGCTAGGATGAGAGGCTGGGAGAGGGGAGGGTTCCTGTCCCCATGGCTGTGTGTGGGGCAGGGCCTTCCCTGGCCAGATGCAGGGTCTCCTGACCCTGCCTTGCTCTGCTGCCATGTGGGACAGGGGAATTTTGCCCTCCACTTCTCTGCGTGGTGGGGATCAGGAGAAGAGGGGGTCAGGAGACCTGTGCTGGGTGCCTGCTCCCACAGCCATGTGTGGGGTGTAGGATGCCCTTGCCTCAGGGGCTTCCCCCCCACACCTGGCACTGGTTTTCTGAGCCCCACTGCACAGAGAAGGGGAGGGAGAAATTCCTCTCTGCTCTCACATGGCAGGAAACCAAGGCAGAGCTTAGGAGAGCTGTGCCTGGCAGGGGGAAGTTCCTGTGTCTGGGGCACCCTGTGCCCCATGCCTGGCTCTGATGACAGGCACCCAGCATGTCTCTTGACTCACTGACTCCCCTATTTGTTGGATGACTGTCGTCTTTGCATTGAGAGGCTATCAACAAGGATATAACAATCAAACCAAACTCTGGCGTGCATCTACCGATGCATCTCAAGCAAAACCAGGGATGTCATCCTCCTGCTTTACTTGGGCTTGGTGAGGCCACAGCTGGAATACTGCATCAGTTTTGGGCCTTCCACCTCAGGAGGGATGTGGAAAAGGTTGAGAGAGTCCAGAGGAGAGCCACCTGTATGATCCAAAGCCTGGAGAGCAGGCTGTATGAGGAGAGTCTGAGGTTTTTGGGACTCTTCAGTCTGGAAAAGCAAAGGCTCGGGGGGACTTGGTAGCAGCCTACAATTATATAAGGGGTACATCAGGACCTGGGAGAAAAGCTGTTCACCAGAGCTCCCCAAGGGATAACAAGGTCTAACGGCCATAAACTCCAGGAAGGTCGGTTTCAGAATAGACCTAAGAAAAAAGTTCTTTATAGTGCATGTGTCCAGGGTCTGGAACAGACTCCCCCCAGAAGTGGTGCAAGCACCTACTCTGAACTCTTTCAAAAAAATCTGGATATTTTTCTTGCTGGGATCACATGATCCCAGCTGACTTCCTGCCTATGGTAGGGGAGCTGGACTGATCTCACAAGGTCCTTTCCAGCCCCTACTGTCTATAAAATCTATGAAATATTGAAAGATTTTGAGTTTGCTTTGCATGGCCCTAATGATACTCTGCTATTTAGGTATTTATAGATTTATTATGGGATCCGCTCTGGTGGTCATTACCTGTAGCTGTTTCAGGAAGGATGCCCATCAGCTGTAATTGTTTAAAAACTGCTATACCTTTTCGCATCTTTTGGAGGCTAACAGTTGTTCACTTAGTTTCATTTCCCCACAAAGATCATTCCAAATGGATTATTAGTTTTTCTTTTTCTTGTCAAGAATTTCTTCAATACAAGTTTGTACATTTTGGGGGAAGTGAACAGGTCTTGAATCCTTACAAAATTAGGTCATTCCCAGAATCTCTTATGGTTCTTTGGATATAAAAGAACAGTGTAGTCTTTGAGTAAATAGATTTGAATTATCCTCAGTATGAATTCTTGAAACACCTCTAACCTCAAAGCTATAGGATGTTTTAAAATGGTTTTAAATTAGATGTTTTATTCATAGTTCAGTTATGAGACTAATATTTGGCAGTTAGTTTGGCATGATTAATCTGGAATGTGAGATTAGAAGAGATCCTCTGGATAATCAAGTTCAGGTCTCTGCTATTCACAGGCACCATGTCACACAATTCCTTTTTCATTAGCTTATCAAGCTACATCTGATAATCACTGCTGGAATACTGTCTAATACTGTAGTGGTTTCTATAACATAAAAAAGAATAATGAAAAACTGGAAGGGGTTCAGGGAAGAGCTATAGGAGTGTCATAGGGTTGCAAAATTGGCCTTACAGTGAAAGACTCCAAGAGCTCTGTCCATCTAGCTGAAAAGAGGTTAAAAGTAACTTGATCACAGTCTATGGGCAGAATTCTGTTTCAACTACTGGACTATCAAAGTGCAATTTGTGACTAAATGTAAGTTACCCAACTGAAGTTTAAGAGTAATTCTATTACTCCTCTCTGGTCACATAAGTACCCCTATTATCAAAACTAGTTCCATCTCCAGAGATGGGCAGATATCTCACAATTCCTATAATAGGAGCACTGGTATGCCCAAAGACGCTGTTTACATTCTAGTAGCTATAAGCAGAAGGTGTATTGCTTGATATTTATAAAGGAGTCGTAAAGTCCTGTGGTTTTTTTCCAGGAGCTGAAAGCATTGATGGCCCAGCATAACACCAGCGCTTCTCAGCAACCTGGCAGCTCCCGTTCCTATTTACCAGGTACTCTCCCATCAAGCCAGAGCCAGCACAAATACCACTTTGAAAAGGCCTTCTTGGTTTCTCGGTCTGGGAGCTGCAGGGTCATGGCTTACTGCGACTCATTGAGTTGTCTTGTGGTGTCACAGCCCTCTCCACAGTCTACGCTTATTCCTGGTAAGTTGCCAGTAAACAGCTCTGTGTTTTTAGCCCAGTGAAGCAGCCATCAAAAAAGGAAACTGATATGAATTTCCTGTCCCAGTAAGGGATCACTTGAATTTGCCTCTTTGTTCTGAAATGCCACCTCCCTGCCAAAGTGGAGGGATCTGTGTGGTGCTTCTTGCCAAGAGGACTCTTGCAGGAGCTGCAGACAAGTGTATAAAGCATTTTCATGACTCCCTCAAGTGCTTTCAGTCTTTCACAGGAAAATGTAAGTTCCTGAATTACAGTTACAAGACCAGATTTGTCACATTTTTAAGTGTATTTTTGACAAGTGCATATGGATAAATGGCACTATTTAGTGGGAAAAGACGACTGGGCATTGTAGACACAGCTCCACTTTGAACTTTGTGGCAACATTGAACAAGATGCTTGACTTTCATATGCATGTACCAATTCCCCATTTGTAAAATAGCTGTTCTGAGGGTCCTGAGAGCTAAGTGCATGATGTTCTCTGAATGGCAAACTACAAATTTATCTTATTCATTTAATGACTTGAGATTTTTAAATCATTTCTGAACAGAGTTCTGTAGTTCATCTTGATTCCTACATGGTGACAGTCATCTGACTTGGTAACAAGAGACATTACACCCAAAGAGGGTGATGTTCTGTAGCAGTTTTCCAAAACAACATGTAACCTGTGTGTTCTCTTCTTGATGTGAGCATTAATTAGCACAGTTACTAGAGCTCTCATGTGAGGCTACATGTTAAAGGCTCAGGTTCCATATTAATTTGATGCAGTTGTCATGCCTTATACTTATGTGGTTTATCAGGATATCGTGTTTCGTTTTCCCATAACAGGCTGTGGGGTAAAGATGATGAGTGCTGCCAATTTGAGAAGCAGTCAATACATCCCCATCCATAGTAAGCAGATCCGGGGATTGGCTTTCAGTAATCGGACCCATGGCTTGCTCTTATCTGCTTCTTTGGACCATACGCTCAGACTTACCAGGTGAGTGGAACTGGGAAATGGCAGGGTGTAGTGATATCCTCTAGCTTGGCTGTACACGTGCTTTGGAGCAGCAGCTCTTCCTGTTTCCAAGAAATGCATTTTAAATCTAATATGAAAGTTTAATACACATGTTCCAGAGGAGGATGGGAGCTCAGTACAGAATTGTTCTCACTTCCTAGTCACTTGAATGGAGGAGGGACTGTGCTTCTGTCTGTTCATGCTACCTTTCTTTGAGTGAGATTTTTCCATGGGATGCAGCTTGGAAAGAAGCCAGTGCAGACAAGCTGAGTGTTGAGACAAATGTAACTTAATCTGCTAATGTGACTTGCCATTTTTCCCAGATACAGTAGTACTGTAAAGAGTGGAGTATAAGAGCATCCATAGGACTGAATGGATCTGAGAGTTGAGGGTAAAAAACCTCAAAAGTTACTTCCCATTCTGCTTACTCCCCTTTCTCCAAATACTTGGTTTAATTCAGAGGCGCTAAAGATTGGTCACATAGGCCTATCTGACCCATGGAGCCATATGCAACCTGTGGGGCTCATGGAAGGGGCTGGTCCCACTTCCAAATTCAGGTGTATGGAGCCTTTTTGGGGACACGTGCCAGTTGTGGAGGAGCAAATAACATTAATCCCCATGGCTCAGAAACCCGCTGTGTTTAATGCTGCTGCCACTTATCCCATCTCTAGCAGTAGGGTCTGGCCTGTGGGAAGCCCCACAGTCTGTGTCTGGCCTGAGAGGTCAAATGATTTTGACACCCCTACTGTTATTGAAAACTAGTGATTAGGGTACATGTTAACACTCACCTGAAGTACATAGAGCATAAGCAGAATTACTTGGAACTGATCCATGAGATAAGACCAGTGCTTGTTTGTAGCTGGGCAGAGACAGACTTAAAGGAATATGTTAGGGCCTGAAAAGTGCAGCTAAAATATATTAAGAATTCTTTGGGAATTAGTAGTAGTTTGTAGATTATGTGTACACACATGCTGTGTAATCAGATCTAGAATAGAAGGTGGAGGACCTAGAACAGCAGCTAAAGTTGGTATCACTGAAGAGATCTGAATTTTAAGGAGGATTTTTTTTTCAGAAAGGGATGCTTCATCAAGAGCATGTGGCAAGCTGAAGTACTGTGTGGCATAGGATACAGATCATGTCAAAGTCTGATTATGTTCTTTAAGATGTAATATGATTTGGTTTCTTCCAGCTCTTACTTGTATATGTTTGCAAACTGAATAAAGCCATTCTTCTCTAAGAGATTAGATTAATTTAATTTTCCAGCCTTAACTGTGTCTATTGGAAGCCATCCCAAACCTGGCTTCCAGAGGGAGTGAGCCCTGTCTCCATGGACCAGGCCTTTTAGATCTTGTACCCCCTCGCTCTCCATGCCCCTCTCCTGCAGGAGCTCAGCCCCATTCTGACTCTGCTACTGGAGAGGGACTTCACCTCTTAAAAGGGAGAGAGTGCACCTCAAAGTTTTTGCAGTGAAGCAGGCAGCTCTTCATCTTAAACAAAAATAGAATATTAGATAACTGCACTACAACTACCATAGTCCTTGGGTCACAGTGCTTAAAGCTAAAACTCAGCCAGGGTTGCAGTCTGTCAGATTTTAGGCTCCCTCCCCTCCCCCAACTCTGTCTCTGCCTTGCCTTGCCTCACCCACCCCTTTTTTCTCTGGGAGGCTTTACTTTATTTTTCCAAGCTAGCATCTCACATGGTGGCTTCTTTCCTGGGTGCCAGAGACTGCAGGAGTCTCCAGGTGCTGGGGCTTGAATCCAGTGGTGCTCCAGTTGGTCCTCATCTGGACATTAGTTCCTTGTATTCTTGATGGTGCATTCTGTAATAACTGAGGCATGTAGTCCAGAGCCTCACTTTCACTCCCAGGTGAAAATCTGTTCTTTCACAGAATATAACAGTGTACAAGACATTGGATATACTGAGACGTGCAACATTGTGTTTATTAAAAAATGGGTCTATTACAAAACAATACCATACTCTGTCACGAAGGGAAAATAAAGGGTATGGAGCAGTTACCACATAGTAGGTTACAGTGTGAATATTAAAATATGTTGGCTGCTTTTGGTTCCCTTATGTTTGCTCTTACCTCACAGGAAATGTGAGCAACTGTTACTGAAGGATAGGCTACTTGCATTTACCTTGAAAAAGTAGGCATGTGGGCAGTTAGCTGACCTGCAGTAAAATGCCCCATGCACCAAGTTGTTCATGTTCTCATGGCTAAAATATTTAATGGGAAATTAATGCAAGGTTTGTTGTTGAATCTTTCATCCTGTCGAGTAAATCTGTATTGTCAGCATTTTAAATTTTTTATTTATTTATTTATTTTACCGTACAGCTTGACAACAAATACTGTGGTTCAAACATACGATGCTGGCCGTCCTGTCTGGAGCTGTTGTTGGTGCCTTGATGATACCAACTACATCTATGCTGGGCTGGTCAATGGCTCTATCCTAGTGTATGATTTAAGGGATACACGGTCTCATGTCCAGGAATTAGTCCCTCAGAAGTATAGGTATGGTTTCAAGATTTCTCTCTGGTGTTCACTAACAGCTAGCAAGCTAAGTATATCCTCTTGTGCAGGTGAAAATTATAATCACGTAGTTTTAAGCAGCGTCTTGTATTGCTGCCACAATTTTGGAATGCATTATGTCTCGGGAACAAGGTCCTAACATGACTTTTTTTGATAGAGGATCAGTGGATTAAATGCACTAAAATTGTTACATTTCTGGATTTTTTTTTTTCACTGTCCCCATGGATAAGGGAGAAATACTAGATCCTAAGCTAATGTTAGCACCGGGTACCAGAAGACTGTGGCAAAACTGATAAATAAGTACTAGAACCTGCTGGTCTTGTACTTAGGCCCTGGGGATTAGTGATGAGCAATCCCAGGTGTCACACTTTATTGAAGAGTCCCAAAAATATTAGTAGGAGTCTTGTATTCACATTTAACTTCATGCCATCATCCTTACGCCTGCTAAATTTGATTTCTCTGTCAAGGGATCACTTTATTATTATTATTATTATATTAATAACAATAATTACTACTTAAAGCTTATCAAAAACTTCTGTTCACTTATCTAAATTAGACCTCATTCTCAAGCCATTATCAGAATGTCCCCTTCCCCCCTTTCAAAATTGGAGGTGGAAAGAGGGTGGATTGACTGTTGAAGCAGAAAGCTGGTGTTACTACAGTCTAATGTTACTGTCTCTTGCTTTTTGTCCTTTCAGGTGTCCCATGGTGTCACTGTCTTATCTACCCCGCATGGCCTCTGCCTCGCTACCTTATGGTGGAGTTATAGCTGGTACCTTAGAAGGAGCCTGCTTTTGGGAACAGAAAGATAATAACTCTTATCGGCCTCACCACCTGCCTGTAGAGCCTGGGGGCTGTATTGATATCCAGACTGAAATAAACACACGGCACTGCCTTGCAACATACAGGCCTAGTAAGTAGCTGCATATAGGATGTCCTCTGCTCTATTTCTGTCACATAAGTCCCTGTCCATGTAAGCCCCTGTGCAGTGCCAGGATTCCAAGGCAGCTGTGGAATGCTGGTATGGTAGCCCTCAGGGACTGGGAACACGGTGGAAATGGTGTTCCTTTTCTTCAGAAGTGAAAGCCTGGAAGATGTTGTAGTGTGATACTTGCCCTTGGCCACAGTGATGAATTTTGTGTGCCTGCATGAGGCCAAGAGAAGTATGGTTGAGGGGAGAGAGCTATGTTAGGGTACAAATGGGAAATTTGTTGTGCTTTTAACAATGCGTCTTGCCCAGGAAGTTTGTACTCAGACAAGGTTACCCTGTCTTGGATTGCATCAGGATTCACTTCTCTGCAGCTTAGCTACAGTCCTTTCTTGGATAGGCATCTTCTTTTGGAGAAAACTTCGCTACATTACTTGGTTTATTAGAGAAGCTATCCTTTGTTTTCTTTCACAGATAAGAACAACCCCTACTTGCGTTGTGTGGTGATGGAACTTTCCTGTAGTCCTCTAACAGATGCCTCTGATATCATCATCTGCTCATGTCACCCAGTGCAAACGTTCAGTGCTGGGCCTACCTGCAAACTGCTTACCAAAAATGCCATCTTTCAGAGTCCAGAGGAGAATGGCAGAATCTTGGTGTGTGCTGGTGATGAGGCGTCAAACTCTGCCATGGTATGTCCTTCTCTTTAATGTGATCTGGAAGGTTTTATTGAAGTGCCTGGGAAGGAAACTTAACTAGTTAATATGTGTTATTCCAACTTAATAGAATTTTGCATTGAGGGGAATCAGTGCTGTCTGTGTGGGGTGAGTGTGTGTGCATGTATACACGTATAAACACATCCATTCATCTGTGTATATGCATGGTAGTGTACTTTCCTTCTGGGGCTGGTAATTTCCTGGTAACTTACAGGAATTGCTGTGTTTTGCCTGTAAACCAGCATTACATAAATTGGAATAATCTGTCCTTTAAAACTTCATTTAATTGGAAGTATGTAGCTAGTCCTTGCTGTTTAATAGTTGTGTTAGACTCTAACATAGCCTTACTCCAGTCAAAATGCCATGTTTTGAAGAAGTACCACAGGCAGTACCAACATGGTAGGATATCAGTTCGCTACTGACTGAAAGTACAAAATAACAGAGTCGGCTACATTGCATATAGACACAGGATCTACTAAAGCAGCTGATGCATCTGTTGTTTTTGTAGATCTTGTACAGCTTGGCATGGATCAGAACTTGCCAGCTTACTTCGCATAGGCTGAGGAGCCAATAATTGGTAACGCTTTTATCACTATTGAACCCAGGCTGGATCTGAACCAACCAGTTATAAAAGAAAGAGTATCCATATTCTTCCAATATAGAATAATTATTGTAAATCCCTCCATCCTATCTCCTCCCCGTAACCTCCCCAAGTACATTATATATCCACATTTTAGGTGCGTTATAGACTTCTACTGAACCAGACTTGTTTCAGTACATTTGTTATGTTTAATGCTTAATGTCTTGTCATGAACATGCACGTTATATGTTCCAGAAGAACGTTTTATAGTTCTGTGCCCACTTTTCCTTCCTTTCCTCTGATAAGGAGGCACTGTTTGTCGGGAGAGGAGATCTTGGGCAGATAATTTATTAACTAGAATTAGAAGACTTGTGAAAAAATAGAACACCAAGTGTTTGAGTGGTGCACTTAGTAGGAAGTGCTAAGCTTTGCCTCTGGAATATTGATCTATTAAGACTTTATTTAAGAACAGTCTTTAAAAACCAAAAATAATGCATTCTACCATGTAAAACAAGATTAATAATGTTCAATGTTCAGCCTTTTTCAGAATGACTACTATTATTTTTAGCAACCTTGTGCTGTTGATGTCTTTTGAATAATTTGGCCTTAATCTTTTTCAATAACATGCCTCCCTTAAACCATCCAGCCCCTTGCCCTACAGATAAATTGTCTAATTTGTTATGGTTTTCCTGTCATTCTCAGTGTAATAACAATAGATTGTCAGAGTTTGGTTTTGTTTTTCATCTCTCTGATTACAGTAGGCAGTGGTTGCTTATCCTTTTCTGCACCAACCCATTTTGACAAAGAGTTCATTGATAACTTGACGCTTCAAAATCCTGCTCCTTCTGTTCGTAGCACTTCTAGACCGATGGTTTTCTAAGAGTTGTTTTGGCTGTCAGCTCTTTTTACAACATGTCCCGTTTCAGGTCAGGTGAGACCTACCTACATACCTGGCTTAACAGACCTCCACTGAGTTTAATGGCTTGCAATGGAATGGCAGTCTCTGTAGACTGGGAAATAGCCATGCTGCCTAGAAAGGTTCATTCTGTCTGAGATCAGCTTCTTGCCATTCAAAAAGGAAAAAAAAAAGATTGAGAGAGATGTCTAGTGGCCTTTTAACCCTTCATTTGTGTTCCATAGTTATGGGATGCTGGGAGTGGCACCTTACTGCAGAAACTACAAGCTGATCTACCTGTGTTGGACATCTGCCCCTTTGAAGTGAACTGCAATAACTTCCTAGCTACTCTGACTGAGAAGATGGTGAAGATCTACAAGTGGGAATGAATAATAGTCCATAAGCTCTCCAGAGGAAGGATTTTCCAAAATGTGCTGCTGGCCAACCACTTCAATAGAGTGTCTGGTGCCCCACTGTAGCAGCTCTGCCATGGACTTTGCCTTCTACCCATGCTACTCACAGAAGATTGGAAGTGTCATGGCACTGCATGTTGGTGCTTACAGATCCTTCAAGTACCATTGTGTCCCACCACAGGAGGCTTTGTCTTCTCCCACCCTAACTTTTGTCTGGTCTTTCTTCAGCTGATTCCCAAGGTTATTTTTTTCCCCTATTTCCAGCCAAATTTAGCAGTCCACTTCAATGCAGTGCTCTCTTCTGAGGTTTTCAGCCTGTGTTGCAAATCCCCTTCCAGCACAGTGTAGGGACTTGCAAACTTTTTAAGACTGAAAATTGAAAGACCTCCTGAAACTCTTTTGATCTTGGAATCCCACTGTTCTAACTGGGTGTGAAAGTGGCATTAATCTGAATACTAGTGTGGCCACTGTCTGGTATCTGATTTGGAATTTTTCCAATTTTTTTTTATATTTTGCTGTGAACATAAGTTAGTTGTAACATAACTTATGCTGTGGAGAAATTTATACTGGTTGCAGCTTGAGGGGTAGGGGTGCAGTGCTGCTGATCCCAGAGAGCAGCTGTTATGCAGTAACTCAAGGGTGTCAAGCATATAGCCTGTAGGCTGCAGCTGGCCCATGGAGCCTCTGTCCAGCCCAGCAGGCTATCCAAAGTGGGTGCATGTGGCCTGCCACAGAATTCAGGGCCTTTTGACCCCACTGGCTGTGGCTGTTAGCGATTTTTGAGCTTGGCTCCCTGCTGCTGCTCCTGGACTCACTTCTCCCATTGGACCCCTTGCTGGTGACCACTGCAGCAGTCCTCATGCCTCAGGCTGGATCCATCTTGCAAGGAGCCCCACAGTATGGAGCCATTTATTTGGGGTCAAAGTTGAGATAGTTTAGCTTGCTTGTATTGCCACAGACTCCTGCATAAGTAAGAGTTACAGCATAACAACTGTAGCCCAGTCTGGAGCAGCAGCAGCTCTCTCTCCCCTTTTGAAGTCTCTGCAAATGGACCATTGTCTATTCCCTCACTGTTTGTCTGGTCCCAAAGATTCTATGCAGAACAAACTAAGTGGGACTTTTCCATCGGTTAAGCCCATCCTTTGGCTGCTGGCTTCTTGCCACACAGGAGGTGTTTGTAGAATTTTAGGGTGAGAACTCTTATTCTGCATTTTCCTCTGCATATAGTATTCAGTGTGCTGCCTCCTTTGGTGTTCCCCCAGTCAGGTAAACTGAGAGGCTTGAGAAGGCAAGAGATTAAAAAAAATAATTCCTGTCTTTTATTTGAAAAAAGGTTATAAACGAACTCAGTCAGTCAGTCTCTCGATGGTAGTTCCAACTCATTTGAACCTTGCCTACGGTTCTGGTGGCTAAACATGATTTTTAAAATGGAAAAGAATTGGCTGCCTCTGTATATTTAAAAAAAAACAAAAAAAACCCCAACTTCGTGGCGACTTAGCCATCCGCTCCATGTTAAATACTGTCTTCTAACTTTAAAATCCAGCAGTTTGATTTACCATCAAGCTGCAGAATTATGCTGCAACCTTGGTGTGGATTAAGTAAAATTTCCTTTACTTCTGAATTATTGAGAGGAGACCAGGAGAACCAAATGCAAGGCGATAAGCAGATTCTCAACTCCTTAGCAAGCATTTTGTTTCTGTGAATAAGAATATTTCATGTTCTTACTGTAGAAATGAGCAGATTTAAAATTTCACTTGTGTATTTTTGCAAAGAGAAAGTTTACAGGGATGTTAGACAAGTTGCAGAATGGCTCCTTGTACTGGGGAAACCTGTTCTTGGGCACAGTTCTCTGCCTGTAGCCAACATAAGTAGTGACCTTCATGTTACCAGATCTGTGCCACTACTAAAATCCCTCCCACTTTCCCTCCTAAAAGTTGGGATACAATTCTCCTTTCTATATCTTGCCTTTTAAAACAGGATTGTGTAAAAAATCTCCATTTACTTTTATTTTCTGTAATATTTCGTTCCTGTATTTTTAGAAAATGTAAATAATAAAGCACTTAGTTACCAAATGCTGCTGTTGCTGCTGCTGGCATAATTGCCTGACCAAGTGAAAAAGATAGTCTGCTCCCCTTCTAGATAAATGTAAACCAAGCTCTGCAGACTTTGGCAGGATACCTGACATTCAACCGAACTTGTGTGTTGCATTTCAGAGCTTCTAGTATATTTTAATACCAGAGGCTTTTATCAAATCAAAATGGGATTCCTTGTAAAATGGTTTCCATATCAAATTTATTTCATGTTATGAGGACTTTGTCTGCTGCAGATTTTTGTATTTAAAGCAATTTAAGGGAAAATGTGAGGATGCCAAGGACAACAGCCAACAGCATGGTCAACTCCAAAGTCCCAAGACCATACTATTTTTGTTTTAAAGATTATATGGTGGTTTAGGTCTGTATTTTGTCTGGTGTTATCCCCTGCCTGTCCCCAGTGTGAGAGTGACTGTTTTTGTGTTTCCAAATCTCAAATTTAGAGTGTAGAATGATTTGGCCCCTGCTTGAGGAGCTCTCACTGGCTGCTTCATGATTGGAGAGAAGTAGTTATCCATGTTAGTCTGTTGTTAGCCAGAAGGCAGGGCAAGGTGGCAAGTTAATCTCTAAGGCCCCTGGCACATTACACTTACAGCATGATTAACGTGGCCCAGCCTGCTACATGGTCAGCCAATTTATGCTGCCATAAATATATGGAACATCTTTGTGGCTCACATGTATGGTGTCATAAATTAAACAAGTTGCACCCCTCCTCCCCTTGTTTTCCACCCTTTCCCCCCTCCCCTCCCAATCCTGACAATCAACATTGGCATTGGGATGGGGTTTGGTGTTGGGATCAGGACAGCCCTGGCCATCCTGATGCTGAAAATGAGCTGTACACATCTTTTTAAAGGTGCCAGTGCATAAGGACCTGAGATCAGGGAATGGTTCTGGGTCCTGTTGTCTGGGGTATCTAAAAACTTCTCCTTTGCTTGAACCCTGGGCAGATAATCAGCTGATTGTCAGTCCCACACACAGGGCTGTGGGCACCTGACTTTCAACTTGCCAGTGCAGGGGAAGCTGAGAATCATAATCCCAGACTCGATCTTTGCTGATAGGCACAAAGGGTATGATTGAAATCTGCTCCCTGATTCCAAAAGTCACACTTGCCACCTGTATGTGGCATGACAGGAGGTGCGATTAGGACGGCATCAGATCCCATTGTGCAACGAACACATGCCAGGGACCTAAGGTACCACCTTGCCCTGGTTTATACGTTGTGGTGTGAAGCTTCCAGCTTCACAGGTCCAAAATTCTAATTACTATGGCCCAGCCTACACATACTGGTTTTCCAGCCCCTTCATCTGTATCATGCCTTTCCAGTGCAGCTCCTCAGCTTTTGGGGTTTATTTTGAGTTTGAGGGGAGGTGGAGTGAGAATGGGGAACCTCAACAAATCTCTTCCCAGGCTTGCTAATATAGGGAGTATTGCGGGGAGAACACCTAAAAGGAGAATAGCCCATTGTTCGTGGGGAAGAGGGAGAATAGAGACAGCTGAATTTCTGGGCTTCTTGTTTCATTCTTGGCTGTGGGAATATAGTCAGCTGCTCTTTCCTTCTGTACAAAAATGTCCTTGCCATCCGAAAAGAAGGGAGAATACCTTTGCTGGCATATGCCTTGATTAGCCACTGCTAATCCCTTCCCCACTACTTTTTCCTCCTGGGAATTAGCAGCCAGTTAGAGTGGGCTGTCTTCCAGAAACAACCTTAAGAAGGTTGAAGCTTCTTCTTTCTTCAGAGTGACACTAACTTGGGCAAAATTACATTTATTTGTAAGAGCTCACAGTACTGATGGGTAGCTTTTGACTTCGGGTGGTGTATGCAGTTTTAAATTCTTAGTCCGGGGGGGGGGGGGACAGTAAAGAGACTTCTTTGTTGGCAGCATGTGTTCTTGCACACACATGTGCACACATTGCTTATTTTTTCCATCACAGTTAAAGAAATATAATCTTGTGGAAGGGGAATAGCTAATTTGGGGCTTTCTAGCTGGCAGCCACATTTGGCCTGCAAGGAGTTAATTAGCAGCCTCCCCAGGCTCTCACCTAGCTGCCATTCCCCTAATTGCTCCAGCTGCAGTAACAGCTGGGGGACTCCGGGCTCCCCTGCCCTTCTTCAGTTTTTGCTTCCTGCCCTTGCTCCAGGGGGCAAGATGGGTCAGAGTGGCATGCTATAGTCTGCAGTTCTGGGGCAGCCCCCAGCCCAGGGTAGCTGTATGATGTAGTGGAGGAAAGCCTGTGGCTGGGGAGCTAAAAGCGGGCACAGCAGGGAGCACATGTATAATAAAGCAAGGGTAGGGGTGAGGCGGGAGGTGCGCCTGTCCACCTGAAAGGCCTGTGGCTTGCATTGGTGCTACCTGTGTATCTGTGGTCACTTAGACACCCCTGAGCTATATCAATATAACTCCATATTAGGAGTTTTCCTGGGAGTTCTCTGACTTTAAAAAAAGAATTGCACTTCTACCCAACATTGTTGTACCAGCATGAAACTCTATATCACATCTTTATTGTGGGCAAAGTTGTGGGATCACATCTTTAGAGCAACAAGATGCTTTGCTCCAGTAGCTGTTAGTACACCCAGTAGCCATGCACAGGTACACCAGCTCAAGGTTTTCACACATTTCTGAAAAGTGTGGAAGACAGTTACTGCTAATAAAGAATTACATTTCTTTAAATTTAAATAAATTGGTATCAGAAAGTTTAATAGTACACAGATAAAAGGGGAAAACTATTTCATTCAGAGCCATTGTAGAACTGTCAAACTCGAGCACTCAACCATATTGTCAACATAATTTGGGTTTTTTTCTTTTGTCTTTAGTCTATTTAGGTCTCTTGGGGTGTGTCTACATGTCACTGTATGGCGGTGTTGCTACAGCACCATGCTTTAGTAATACTTCTAGGAAGTACTAAAGAGTGGCACGGTATGGGAAGTTAGTGCTCTGTGTGCACAGCACACAGTTAGATTTTGCTGCTACGTCACCATAGTGGCACGCTATACTGTAGCTGCTGATCACATGTAGACCCATGTGATTATGTTGCCATAGCATGCCGTATGGCAACATAGTGTGTCTCTTGCTGTAGGGTGACATGTAGACAGACATGCCCTTACTTCACCTTCTCTAACTTTTCTCCACAACAAAGGCTTACCTTTACATTTTTTTAAAATGTAGATTTTCACGGTCTATTTTAGAAGCTTGGGGCGGGTGCATGCATGTACATCTATTTTTGTTTGTTTTAAGAAATACAGCAAAAATGCAAGAATTGACATTTTACTGTTGTTTCAGGCAGTCTGCAGATTGGGGAAATAACACCTCACCAGGTATGTAGAAAGGCTATCTTGTTGACAAGGAGTGCTAAAGTGTTAATTTATTAACCATTTGATCCTACTGCATAGTCTTGTCACAGGATTGGTTTCTGCATTTAATTCAATAGTTACAAAAAATCTAAAGGTCCTGCATACAAGCTGAGGTTGGGAATTTTTTCAAAGAATTTTTTTCAAAGATGCCTTAGTAAGTTTTGCACACTTGTTAGTAATTGTCTCTGCATCCATCTAGATTGTTTTATCTCTGTGATTAAGTGCAGCTTTCTGGAAGCTTACATGATGTGGTAATCTCCTTCATGAAGTGAGTTCTGTTAGACATGCTGAGTTGTAATAGTCATTTTAGAGACTTCTGTTAGGAAATAAAAACATGGGGTCCTGGACTAGTATCAGAGGATTGACACAACATCTTTTTCAATAAGTGACAGAAAGGCTTTATTTACTACAAGTATTCAAAGTTAAATGAGTTCAAACCAAGGCAAAGTCCAGTATTTAGCTATAAGGTGATAGTTTTTCACCAAACAGGTGACTAAAGGCGATCTGTTTCTCTTCAACTTCTCAAAATAGCTAGGTACAGCAGTAGTTCGTCAGAGAGATTTCTCACTCTTGAAGCATGCGCCATTAGCTGTTCCACTTCTTTCTTATAGCCCTTAGTCCTGCATCTTCAGAGCACTATAGTTGTGTAAATCAAGAGAGTCCCAAGCAGTAATTGACAGGAAAATCCTGTTAATCAAAATGCTCATTATTGGTTATCAGAAAGTTCCAATTTGAATTACCTTCTTCAGTGACAAGAGTTTATCCATTTCCACTAAGTTTGGAACATATCAAGAAACTGATTAACAACCAGGAAAAACACAAGGTTTTGGAGAGTGTCCTTGGAAGATCAAGGGGATCACTAGGCAAAACAGGGTAAATTGGGAGGAAACAACATAACAAAAGTAAATCAGGAGGAGTCCCATATGGAGAATGTCTCTTCCTGAACATAAACGCAAGGTAATTGCAAAATAAATGTTTACTGCACTAATTAATCAAGGATAGACATTTCACCGGGTTACATACCAGGCAACTAGGAAGAGCCTGCTTAAAATCATCATGAATATAGTAAGATAAGCTGGAAGTGATACTTCATTATTTCTTGTCAGATGACCTAGCTGTGAACTCACATCCTCTTGCACTATGCAGTTAGCCTCAGTATTTTGTATTTTAGCTTTTGTGTGTGAGTAGACCCCAGCTTAGCATGAGTTTCAGTCATCACTTCCCCTCATGGTACTTTGCTCTTTAGTGCTGTAGATTCACTTTCCTTGCTACATGAACACTGGAAAAAAACTTTTTTAACCAAAGCTCTGAGACAGAGAGGAGCCACAGGGGTATCCAAACTTTGCTCATCAGATGGCTGGCTGAATTAACTTTTAGTTTAGCAGGAATTGTAAGGGCCTTTTCTTATCTGAAAAAGTAGATTGTGTATGCCCCTTCACTCATAAACAAACATTGGTGGGAGATCAGTTGGTGGCAATGACAATCCTTCAATTTGAGGGTGATCTCTACCACAACTCATTGAATCCAAAGGGAGATACTAACATTAGCATGTAAAGCTAGATCACAGCAAGCTATCTTTACTCTGGGGATTTTAATACTGTAATGCACTTTAATACTTCAATTTTAATGTAGCTGCATTGCATTTAGATGG